TTCTTTCTCTACGTTCGTCTCCCTCCCCCCTCTCTCTCTCACTCTTCCTCCCTCTCTCTACTCCCTCTCGCTCCTCCTGCTCGCACATACAACACAGCATTCGCACTCTCTCTTTCTCTCCTTCTGTCTCGATTTCTATCTGCATACCTTTTTCCATTCTCCTCCTCCTCTCTTTCTCTTTCTACTTCTCTGTCCCTTTCTGCTCCTCTTTCGTCTCTCGCTCTCTCTCTCTCTCTCTCCATCTCGCTCGAACGTGAACGCATATACGTTTTCCCACGGTGGGAAAGGACAAGCGTACCGAGAAAGGGAGGTCAAAGGAGGCAAAGAAAACTGGAGCTGGGCTGGATCGAGCTGTGGGAGAAAAAGAAAAAAAGAAAAAGAAAGAGAAAGAAAGGGAAGGGAAATGAAAAGGCGAATGGAAACTCACCGTTTAGGATATAGGGGTGTTAGACCGTCTGACGAGTCGCACTGGAAGCCTGGTTGGCAGCAAGAGCAATCATGCTTGTGGCGTCAAAAACGGCAGTATTGGCAGTGGCGGGACTGGCGGTGGCAGTCACGGCAGCGTTGACGGTGGTGATAGCGGTGGTGACGGCAGCGATAGTAACGGCAGCGGTGGCGGTGACGACGAGGCTGTTGGCGGTGGCGGTGGCGGCGGCGGCGGCGGCGAAGGCAGCGGCTACGACGACGTCGAGGACGTTGTACGCGGACGCGGCACTGACAGTAGTAGCGTTAGCAACCAAGTCACTTTCCTCCGAACGATCCGGGGACACCATCTCCTTGCTCGTCCGATCGCGTGCACAACCGACGACGATGCCGACGCCCGCACTGGCCACGACGCACTGTGGTCGCGCTACCACGAGTACCATCGTCGTAGTCTCATCGTCGTCGCCGTGTCTGCGCTGACACACCGGTGGGGAATTAACGGGTGAACAGGCGGGACGTTCCGTTCCAATCCAGTCCGATACGGTCCGGAACTAACAGTGCGACTTCGAAGAAGGCGGTGGTCGTCCCCCGATCGACTGCACGACACCGATGCTCGATGGCAGGAGACGCCCCAACGCGGGGCACCTAGTTCGACGTATGCCGAGCGACGGCTCACCCCGCGATCCGTCTGCACTCGGCCCGACTCGCACAGTACCGTAACCACCACGGGTGCTCGTCTACCCAGGACCCCAACGTCATCCCTACTCTTTTTCCCTCCCTTCTTCGCTTCTCCGCTCTCTTACTACTCTATGCAACTGCCCCTTCCTGCTACACCCCCGCCCCTACACGCCTTCGTTTACCCCCGAACGGCCACTTAACCGCGAAATTTTGAAGAACGCCTTTAATTCGTGCACGCTTCCTACTTATCGCGCGTATCCTTTCGTTTCCCTATTTTTCTTCCTATTCTTTGCTCGTGGTCAGTGTTCCGATCAGTCACCGGGACGCTTCTACTACCGGTTCTTCGCGCGAAACTTCTGTCTCGCCAGTACCTGGTATAATCGAGTACCGCTTTGAAACTTCTACACCGATATAGGGTAATCGATCTTTTTATCTCTTTCTCTCTTTGTCTTGCTCTTTGCGCGCAATGCCTCCGAATTTGACGTTCTCGATCATCTTTCGAAAGATACGTATACCTTTCTCTCTCTTAACGCCACGAACCCATTGGTAGAACGTTCTTGCTCGACGAACGATGTTTCGTTGTTCGCGAACCGGATGAAAATAATCGGATGGGGTAGTCGAAGATGGAGAGGAGAAAGAAGACTCGTGCGAGTTGCATACGGGTTAGCGAGCTAACCAGGCGAGAGGTATACGACAGGTCGACCAGTAGTGGGAGTAAACGTATGGAATTGTTTTAGTCACGGGCACCAAGAGCCCTTTGGGGTGACCTGAAGCCGTCGGGCACTCAGCGGCAAAGCGGGGGGTTAAGGAAGCCCTTGAAATCAATAGCCAGTCGCTACTGCCGCCGCCACCCTGATCAGGCTGCTCTGCGCTGTATCCGCCGCTCCACTCTCTGCCATCCACCTCCCTCTTCCCCGATCCTGATTTATCTGCACGTTCAGGCCGACCAAGTCCTCCTGTCCGACCTTAGTTCGCAGTCGAACGTCTCGCTATGAGTGTCGTTTGACGAGCTCCATTAAAGGAAGTCACGTGTCCAGTGAACGAATTCTCCAGTTCCACTCTACGAATCTTTATGTTTTCTGTTTTATCATAGGTGCCGATCGTCGTATAGGTGTACGAACATGTTACGTACTTCGCTTTTAGCTGAGAATAACTATCTCTGTCCTTGAAGGTGCGACCGCGGGGGGATACACAGGGATAACGAGATGACGAGTATTCTTACGTATACAAAAATGATGTAGCGTTTCTGCTAATCTTTATCGTTTCTTATCGTAACGTGGACGTGAAATGTGTATAGTACGCGTTGTTCACCAATCGAATAACGCTTCGATTTGTTACTCTGATATCATCGGTCGAGAACAATCGAGAATAACGATAAAATAGAGTAAAGTTTGCAAATTGGTCGATTAACGATCTTTATGTTTCTCGGTTCGGATATCTTTTCCGCCATCCCCTCTCACCGCCCCGGTTTACCCCTCTTTTTCCGTTCGATGGACGCGCAGGGAGAAAGTATGCGAGTGCATGTGCACCCGAGAAGGTAGTCTGATTATAAGTTGACCTACTCTACTTTGGTTCGCGTATCTATTTTTCGGGAATGAAGGGTTTAAAATTCATCTATAAAATTATCTCGTGCACACGATCGATTCGAAGCTATATTTATGCTGGTCTAACATTATGCGATATCGAGTAACCTTCGTCATAATTGATTGATGATATTTTAAGTACAAGTACATCGTTACTTGAACTTGTTTAACGTAATTTTATTGAATATATTATATAGAGTAGGAAAATCGAATGCTTTATTCGTTTGGAACAATTATTTCATGCGAAATCAGGTTTTAAATTGTCGTTTGGATGTATATATGATATTTATTTAATCATAACCGTTCTATAACTTTTATAAGTTCATTTATATTTCTCTTTTTATTCACACACTGGCTACCTCTTCTTCGTTCCTTTCCCGAACCTTATTATTAATATTATAATTCTATATAATGTTACATTCTCTCCACAACTGTGATAATAATATGATAATATAGAGACACGTTACAATGGATAAAGAATTCAAGCGATAAATGGAATAATCGTGTGCAAAAAATTTGATTTTGTATTTCCCTTGGACAGAATAATTTTGTGCTTGTGTATACATATCGCGCTGTTAATGTTCCATATACATATATATATATACCATTTTTATAACATTTCTAACAAGGACTTAGGACGTTATTCGGTCAAGAAATTTGGCAACGAACTTGACCAGAGAAGAATTCTCAAACCTTTTCTTCACATGCCTCGTCTATTCGTAAGAAAGCGACTTCAAGAGCTGTGATAAAAAACAACTTGTATCTATAATCTATAAGCAATCACTGGTCGTTCTGTTTCTTATGTCATAAATATACGTAAATATAATAGAGAAAATTTATTGATAATTACGTTTTATAATTACGATAAATATATATATATAATTTTTATATATATATAAAACGATGAAATACTTTATTAAATTCGATAAAAAGGAAATATCATTGAATTATTATGCTTTATTTTTAAGTTGCACACTTTTGATTGTATATTATCGTTCTATCAGACACCGATGACTCGTTAAACATTTGTCTGAAATATACGTGAAATCCATTAATTTTTGTCGAGAATTCCAGAACCGATAACTCTCCAAACACTTGATACTTTAATTATAGTTTACAGTTCTGTACTACGATTAACCAACTAATGTCTATTAGGTATTGAAAAGAGTCAAGAGAATCTTATAGAATTAGGAAATATTAGAACGATAGAATTTTAATGAAGCACAAATATTTCATATTGCCGTCTCTATTTCTAAGGCACAGACATATGGATGTTCATATATGTATATGTATCATATATATATGTGTCATATATATATATGTATATGCATACGTATACGTAATAATTGTGACGTGTTCGAGTATCATTTCTGACATGACGATTCACAAACTGGTTGTCATTATTTAGATGTATGCGTGTGTAGATAGATAGATAAATAGATAAATGTGTGGTATACGCACACGTTCACACATACATATATATATACACATCTATATAAATAAATTTGGATGATTCGTTATGGCAAAATTTTAAAGCGGTACTATATCCATGTGTACCATGCACCACTTCAAATTACTCGAAAACACAATTATTAGCAGAAAGGTTCAAAATATAAAACTTTCACCATGTGACATCCGAGATATCTTTATTTCGAATTTTTATAAGACAAACATAAAGAAATAAAAATACACTGAAGCGTCAAAAACTTTAATGCATCAACTCCTTAAATGATATACCATTGCTGATGGATAGAGCCAGCGTATCCAAATTCTGAGTCATGAACCACTACTAATCAGCCAGCCCCCCTCCCCTCGTGACTATATATGTTAGACATTAATATATTATCTTAAAATACATTATGTACAATCTTATATTGTGTGATTGTTAAGTACTGTTAGAATGTCAAAAAGAATATTCGAATTCATCCTGTTCCTTTTTCTTTTCATGTAAGGATGCACCACAGTTCTTGAAACAATTGAATTTTTTAATTTTTTTTTTTTTTTTTTAATTGAATGTATTCGTTTAAAAGAATTATATTTCATAAATTTTCGTATCTCATACATAATTTAGTTAGTGGCAACATGGTTTCAAAGACACAGCCGCAAGCGAATTTGTAAAGCGAGAATCCTTTTATAAGAAATATGAGAACAGAAGTAATATATAAACATGAAGATATATAGTATTTAATTTTTATTTATAATTTGCTACTTAAACTAATAGTACTTTCTGATACGTAACAATAACAAAATTTATTCACAGGATTTCCTGCATTTCTACTCCAATGTGAATCATTCGAGTATAGTGTTTATTTCTTAAAAAAGGATTTCAAATTTTACCGCTTTACCAAAATAGAAGCACACTCTTGCAGCAAATAACTCTATTATTGTAAACCACTACCCGTTCATGTTTATAGTATTTATTATGAACAATCGTGTAATACGATGACTGGTTTCGACCTTTGCGATCAGTACTTGGTATATGGTAGCAGGGGGGCAGGCTAAGAAACACAGGGGAAGAGGGGATGTGCCAAGTTATGCGGTAAAGTAATAGCTGCTCAGATCATTTTTCCCAGCACATATCCCAATATGACCATGACAAGAGCAATAAGAATGCTGGTAACCGTTGATGACGATTCGCTACTGTCCTGTGGGTTAAAATTTTTATTGGCTAACGTAGCCTCGTTATCCACCAGGACATTTTGTAATTGCAGTAAATCCTCCTATAAATAAAAATTAATACTGTATTTAACTATCGTAATATGTATTTTTTTTCCATTCGTATATTTTTCTTATTTTTTTCATATTGAAATAATTTACAGACTTTACAATTGTTTACCTTTAACTGAAGGTTTTCCTGCCTTAGAGCACTCTCTTCTTCTCTTAGCTGATTAACTTCTTGTGCTGCTTTTATCAATTTTTCTTCTGTTTCTCCAGGAACCTAATAAAATAAACGTATTATTTACTTATATAATAAGTAAGAATTGCAATGAAAACAAAGCAGATACTAATTATTACCTTTGGCGATGACTTAACACAATCACCGATTCCTTTATTTTTCCCGTTATTTGTGGTAACTTCTGATTTGGTTGTTTCAGCTGTCACAGGTTTAATTACTGGATTTTCAAAGACACATTTTAATTTAGATTCCATCAATTTCTCTGGATCTATATTTTTCCACTTCGAAAGAAAATTAAAAGTTACAATTGGCACCAGATGAAAGTAACATACCAAAGGAATACAATAAAGGCAAATATCCTTTATTAATTAAAAATTAACATATATTACATACTATATCGGGATTATCATCATCATCGTTAGCTTGAACTATTGTAGCTTGCACCATAAATTTGTGTTTATTTTTTTCTGTTAGATCAAAATCAAGTGGCTGAAGAGTCACTAAAATATACAATACCTAATCAATTAAACTTTCTTGTTTATAAATGAAAATAATTTAATTGTGGGAAAATCTATATTATCAGCTATTATAGTTATAGTTACATTATAAATTCATCATAATTTATATATTTTATTCATTGATAAAAACTAACCAGCTATTTGTGTAATTTCCGTTGGTTTCAGATACCCAGAATTAGGTCGCACACAATACCTCTTTGGAGCAGTTGTTTTTATTTTATAACGAACTTTGTAATTCGATGGATTGGTTAATGTTATATATGATGTGACTGTTCTTTCTGTAAATGGGCCTATAATATGATACAGACATGGTGTTAAAAAATATTCAAAAGTATCGTTTTTATCTATCTTTAACTCATAAAAACAAATAATCAATATCATAAATCATATAAACAAACATTAATCATAACTTTATCTATAAAATCCACATATCATTCACATATTTTGCATATTCTTTTATACATTTAAAAATATTAGAATAAAATACAAAATATGTAATAAATATTAATGATACAGACACACTGTTATAATTATGAACACAGTAACATTTCAACATTTTGTTTATGTATTTAGCTTTCATTCACAAAGTTTTCATTATATAAATGATAAAGTGGTCAAACCCTTTGACCCAATACCATTCAACAAAAATCATTTATTATGTTATAAACGATCTTTTTTTCGATATTTTGAAAACGTACATATATTTCTAAACTTATAACAAAAGCAAATAAGTTTACATGTTAAAAAATAACTAATATCTGTCATTGAACATAAACGTAGGTACGAAAAATATATTATTTCGTTTAAAAATCTAGAAAAATATATAGGTGAATTGAATACGATACGAAAATGCATAGAATATAAGTCGATGAATATGCTGACTGTATATCAGTTAACAGAGAAAAGAAGTGAGAGGGGAGGCTGAGAATTGAATCGTGACTGTACTTAGCTTTGACAGCGAATGACGTACGACGAATGGGGTTAGGTACAACTGAAAAGGCCGATGATTTCTGCTGGGTCGTCGTACGTAATCCTATTTGATTACAAATCAAAATGCAACGAAATTGGCTAGCAAAGGTAACTTTACGTCATCTTGACAACGTAGCGCACCGTGTGCAGCTCGTGTTAACTAACCAACAAAGCGCCTGCCAGTCACGGATTGAACAAAACTCAAAAAGTTTTAAAGAAAGCAAAAAATGTGCAAGGAAAATGCGCATAAAAGAATAATTCGTCGTTTAAGCGTACCCCTGAACCGCAGTTCACTTCGCGGTTCGATAATTAAAATTTGCTCAGGCTTCACCATCCTGTCTGGAAGCCGATCGAATCCTACGAATGATTACCCACAACACCTTTGAAAACGTAAATAATGATGCGAGACCACGTCTTGACAGGTTAATCAACGCTCCTTATAATTTTATACAGCGGCACCGCCGTGTCTCACAATCGTTACTTTCCGGGATTCCGTTGGACTAATTCTGATTTTTGCTCTGAATCGAATACGCATGCGTCACGACGGAAATTATCAGGAGTATAGCCGTTACGTCACAGACAGACGTTACCGCGGTAATCATATTCGCTACTTCTGCACATCCCGAAACTTGAAATGCCGGTAAAAGACGAGCAATACGAATAGAATTTTCGAAGGTCGTCAATAGGAACTATTTTTTAAATACTCGGACGAACAAAATTGCATTTAATTTACATCAGTTATTGTTAAGTGAAAATAAAATACGAAAGAATAAAATTATGAATTTGTTCATTACAACATTTCAAATAACTTACATATATTGGAATATATTATTAAAGAATATTACTAGATAATGTGACAGGTTGTTATTTATTCATATTTGTTTTTAATTATAAATTACCATAAATACGATAATTATGGTTATTATTTTTATTTTTTGTAGATATAAGACTTTTATTCATAATAACTGATAATTACGAAATGATCGAACATTTTGTATATATAAATTTTCATATTATTAGCTTTAAGTATTACTTAAAACTTCTAATGTCATAGTTTTATAAAATTTACTAGGAGTTAATCGTATCTATACATATTTTCAAGTATTTATATCATACATGAAATATATCTATACTTGGACGATATAAGAAAATTGCATTCGTAATTTCATAGTTACACTTAGTTTTAATTTCAACCATTACTAGTGTTGTAATCTTATTCTATGATAAGTCGGTAACATTGGAAATTACACAAAAGTGATAATGGTTTTACTCGTCCTAAAACACGTGTTACCACAGAAAAAGAATTTAATAATAAATTTATTTTATGTTGTGTGCATACTACTCAATTTGTTTATTTGATCTGTAATAACTTATACTATATATTTAATGTAGTGTAACATATGATTTGTTACAAACTATTTGTTACGATTTATATCAATATAGTAAAGTCTTTCAAACAAGTTCCGCGTTGTTAGCATTATTATTGTTCAAAATTACTGAATTATGGCATTTTTAACTCCACCCAATTTAAATACTCTAGTTTATAGAAATATGACAATAACAGATAAACCATATTTTTTTAATAAACACTTGCAATTTATCACAATTTATAATGGTAATGTAATTTAAACAGTCTATAAAGTAATACTTATAAATTATCAGCTTTATGTATATAGATTTATATTTTTCACATATATATCAATGAATATATATGATTTTGTTTAATTACAGAAAAAAGTGTTCTTCTTGGAGGCAGTAACCTAACAGATCGTTATTGGAATGGTTCTGTTTGGTATTATAATGATATTACAAATTTTGATAGAGATAAAGCAGCTCTTGTGGCAAAAACAGAAAGTGGTGTTTGTGATGCTGTCTTTTTACAAAGTGATAAATTTGTAATTGGTGAAGATAGTGGAACTTTGCAAGTTTTTGATTTATCTACACAACCTATTGACTCAAATGAATTACAATCTACAGGATATGCTGCTTTACATGATAGTAGTTTGTTAACTCTGTCTGTATTTGTTGATAAAGAACATGTAGTATCAGGAGGAATGGATTGTTGGTAAAACCAATTAATTGCTAAACGTATTGAAAAACATTTAAAATATTTAATAAAGAATTATAACTATTTCATAGTATAAAAATATGGAACATATCGGAGTTAATGGCAACATATTCATTTGGCTTTGCTCATACAGATACAGTCACTTGTGTTGATGTTAAGCCGGGAAGTAATTCAGAATTTGTGTCAACATCATCAGATTGCAAAGCATTAATATGGGATACAAGGCTACAAAAACCAGCCCAATGTATGTATTCAAACATATATAATTAATTCCATGAATGTAATTTAAATTTATATTTTCCTTTGTTAGGTATTTTAGAAAGGGATGCTGGTTTAACAGCAGTATGTTGGAATCTCAGTTTACCAAATGTTTTAGCAATAGGTAGTGAAGATGGAGAGATTATAATAGTTGATGCCAGAAAGGGGAGTGTAAAAGTATTATCAGAATCATTTGCATTTTGTAGACCAGTACATAGACTGTCATTTAATCAAAATTTAGGAAGGTAATATAAGTTGATAAATTTAAGATACAAATCAACCTTATCAATGTAATAAATTATATAATATTATTACATAACAGGACAGAAGAATTAGCTGCTTGCTGTGATGATATTTCTGTAGAAGTGTTTGATATAACCAATGAGCTTTCATTAATATATAAAGATGATCGTCACACTGACTTTGTACGTGGTCTTACATGGTTTGACAGTCATTTATATTCTTGTTCCTGGGATAATACAGTGTTAAAACATACAATAAATCTTGAGAATCATGTATAACTTATTTAATATGACTATGATTTAAATTGTTTCATTTATAAGCTAATTTTATGTTCCTATACATAAAAATAGATTTTGTAAACTGGTGTATTTGATTATTTTATTTCACTTTCATTCCATATAGTTAATAATCCTTTATATTATTTATATTTATATTTCTACAAATTATTTGTTATATAGTTGTACTTTATAGTCTTTATATACTTCTCTGTAACAAGTCAGCAGAATATTTAAGAATAACACATTTTATATGAAATATTGAATACAAAATTTTTACCTAAACATTAAAGCTACTTGTGTAATTGAAAAATGTAAAGAATAAAGATATCATAACAAAAAAGATATTATCAATATTAAACATATTTTTTAAAAGAAAAGAGTGATATAAATAAAAAAGTTTTACAGTTTATTTGCAGTACATATCATATGACACGTATTGCCATAAAGTAATTACAAATCAGTCAAATTTTTAAATTATATAACTGGCTACATTTGTATTTTAAACATTTTAATTTCGTTTTCAAAATTTGTTATGTGTAAATATAATATATATATATTTGTGAAAAAAAGTGTGTGTGTG